ATAAATTGCACAACTGCAAAAGTCTCACGTTATTATTGATTAATTGACAGGCGAATCACTTGATCGAGTCAAGATCAAAATGCGTAATATTAATTATAATATTATTTTTTAGTTACAGTCAATTGGATGAATAAGGGGAAACAAGCATCTTATTCCAAAATTTTGTACGAGATCAATAAATAATAATATAATAATCAACGATTGAAAATTTCTTGATACCTTTGATACCAAGCATAGAAGGATAGCAGTAAGTACAATTTATACATCTCCATAAATAGAACGTGGAAAAAAAGAAAGACAAAGGGGACGAGATTGAGAAACCTGGGGAGGTTAGAAGTTAGAAGGTGTGGGAGAAAAGGGAGGGAGGAAGAGGAGGGCGAAGAGGAGGAGGAAGAGCAAAGAGGGGCAGTCCATGGGGCCCCCTGAAAATTACAAGCTATACGTTGTTCCAAACCGACCATCTAAGATAATACCTGCCCAGCCTGCAGCCATAATGAATATGTAAGACAGATTGTAGGCTAAGAGGGAGCCTCCGTAGCTACCGCAGCGCGATACGGTTGTCCATGCGCAGATTATATTCCAGCCCGATTACGCACGGCCGGCCGATAATTTATTATTTGCCGCGAGTAAAAATCGCCGAGGAAACGACCCGCGGCGCTCATTCCAACAACGCTCCCTGCTATATACGTATATATATGTGGTGTACGCGTCGGAAGGCGATCGCAGGGCATCACCGGGGCCTTATGGCCTCTAGCTCTTGTACACCGGAACGAGGACGTCCACCACGACGGGGCAGCAAATTGTATCCGAATCTGAAAAAAACGCAAAAGCGAAACAGACTCTTCTTAACAATGTTAACAATTACACATCTTGATGGTAAGTTCCATCAACGTCATTTCAAGGATAAAGTTATTAATAATGATTCTTTCGTCAATTTTGAGGTATTTGTCATTCATTTTCATTTCGTCGCGCAAACTTTGGATGGATACTAATATCACGATACAGCGTTTCTCTCGAGTAGACGACAATACGGAAATGAATGGAATAAATTCTGAACGAGCGAATGGTCGTTCTAGGTTAGGATCCTCGAGCGAGAGGATCGATGAATGAAGGGCCGCGCGGTCATGTGCCAACAGCCGCTTGGTTGCGTCCAGTAGCGCGGAATGCTGCGCGAGATCTCGAAATTATCGTTATTACTATCGTACGTTAATTATTGTACTGTAAGTCGGCTCGCGGAGAACCGGTATTTCATGATCATCAAGGATAAATAACGCAACGTATAATGACCCGGCCGTCGGAAATGTATTTGTTTTTCTGCGCTTCGTATAAATTATGCGTCGTTGATGTTATCTCGCGTTGAAATTCAGCCTGGACCGATACCCGGCTGCTTAAGGAAATTACTTTTAATTACACCGACGAGATTCATTGGCCTGTCCGCTTATCTCTTTTTTCTTTTTTTTTCCTTTTTTTTTTTTTTCCTCCCTCCTCATGAATCTATTACGCGATCGTCGAGAAATCATTCTTGTCACGAGCTATTACTCGGATGTTGATCGATTCTCGCGTTATCACGTTGGACCATCTTACCTCGACAAACTTTTATATATTTTATATATATATCTCGCGTTTTATCGAACACTCCGCTAATGAAATATAGTTTGTCGTTACTTTCCAATTTCCAATGCTACGATATTAATGTCATTTCGATATTTCCATAAAATAAATAGAAAATCATTTTTCTACTTTATCGATCCATCTAGATACGTTACAACCAGCCATTTTACTGCCACAACATCGCGTAGAAAATCTCACCAGTCTCAGCTTTAATTTGTTTACTCCGTTCCAACCTATATCTCTCGTTAGTTTAGGATTACATATCTCCGTCTTTGTCTATCCAAACGTGTGCTCTTTCGAGCATTAAATTCCACTGTCCGATAGGTGAAACCAGTTGGACAATTGAACTTTTCTTTTTTCCCCCAACTTTCTCCTTCAAAGGTGTGCGTTTTTGGTCACTATGCTCGGAAGCACGATGCACGTATACCAACTCGGTATTTACTTAGAACGCGTGCCACTACTCCTGACTCAAATTTCCGCCGCTAGAGGGATACCAGATGCAAAATGATCCAAACGATACTCTCCCCTCCTCCCCCTAAAAAATGGCGTCGTCCGAAACATCGTCCGGATATCGATAGATCATCGACCGACGAGGAACGACGAGCACGAAATCCAACGTGTGGTCGTGAAGCACGAACGATAAAAGAGAAAAAGGAACGCAGGAGGGTCAAGCAGGGGCGGCAGGTGACAAAGTCGGGTGTTTAGGCGTCTTTCGAGGTTAAAATTGGGACCCGAGCTATCGAACGCCGGGGTGGGAGCCGAGGAACGAGAGGCGGCCGAGAATACAAAGGGGAGGAAGAAAGAGGAGCCGATAAGAAGAATGAAGAGGCGACTCGGTCTGTGGAAGGAATGCCGTCGGACGAGCGCCGGAGGGCAGCCGCGCGCGATTCCTCTCTCTCTCTCTTTCTCTCTCTCGCTTCCAGAACGCTACTCCCTCCTCCACCACCCTTTGCCCCAGCAGAGGTAACAGAGAATACTCGATCACTCCATCTCCCTCCTCGCCTCTATCCTCGATGGCCGCCTCTTCCTCTATCCTCCAACTGATTCCTCTGTCGGTCCACATCCCCCTCGGCCACGTACGCGTCCACGCGATTGTGGTGGTTACCGATACCTCCCGGGGCCTCACTTGTCACACACGCAGCGCGGTCCACCTCCCCTCCACCGGCTGACAGGCCCCGCGCTGACCCCCCACCACTCCCTCCGCCAGGGATCCCTCTCCCTCTCCCTTGTTGCACCCCTCGTTCGGGCCGCCAGGTTGCATCGGCACGCCAGCGGCAATAGCCGTGGGCCGACACAGGTGATGCACGGGCCTCCTTACATCTTCGATCCACTCTTACAGGCCTCTTCTTTCCCACCGAGAACGTATCTCGCGCGCTCTCTTCCCTCTCCCTCTCTCTCTCTCTCTCTCTCTCTCTCTCTCTCTCTCTCTCTCTCTCTCTCTCTCTCTCTCTCCTCTCTTCCTTGTGTGTCTCGAGTTTACCGTGCTGCTCTCCTCTGTCCGCCGTGTGTCGCCTCGCACTCCCCTGTCTTCCTCCACCCCTCGTCGCCCCCGTGCGAACCAAGACGCGTCGTGTGTGCACGGTGCTCGTCGAACACACATCCTCGACCGTGCACGCCGCGTTGCTACGACTGTTATTGTCTCCGTCTACCGTGTTACAGGTATGCAATAATGCATCGACACCAACGTGCCAACACCGTGCACGTGTTTTTCACAGATCGTTCCGTGACCCCGTGTCGCGTCAACGATGAAACACGCTCGCACCCGATTCGACCGACTTGTCTCTCGCTTTCATGTGCGCGCGCCGCTGCCGGACGAGCTTGTGTCCTTTATGATGTACCGTACGTACGGTGGCGGTAGTAGAGCGAATGGATCGTAATAGGGGATCTCGTAATGAAATGTCGCGCGACGTTGGGTAATGGAAGGTGTGGCGCCATGTAACACTACTATATTATTGATTATAGATCGATTGGATGGAATGGAATTTAATACGACGATTTTTTAATTGTCATGGTATCGATCGATATTTAATATTAATTTATTATTCGAAAATAAATCTGTCAAATTTTCGTTTTGCACAATAGAGACACTTTAGATTAAAAAAAAAAAAATTTAAACGATTATTATGAGATCGTATCACTATATCGGTTTTTAAGAAAGATTTTTCTTAAAAGCGATCCACTACAGTCGGAGAAAGTCGAGTCGAGGTGGATACGTTTCAACGGCAGAGGAGAAACCCGGTTTTAAATTCTTAATGATCCTCTTTTATCTCGTTCGTTGAAAATCTGCTCGACTTATCGAGGAACTTGGGCCGCGTGCGAGAAGAGGGAAAAAGGAGAAGGAAATTAATTGAATCCCTCGTAGAGGCAGGTATGAAATAAATATTTTAACGAGAATTATGTCGAACGCGGAAGAGGTCGTGGCAGGCTGGCGTAACTTTTCCAAACGGAAAAGAGCGCCGATCGCGAATAACTTCGCCATATACGACGGTATCTAGATGATCTCGTTAATTGATACCAAATTCGACGCGAAGCGCCGTGGTAATCGTGTTTCACACCTCTGGATGGACGGCGCGTCGCGCAAAAAACAACCTCGCGCGCCTTTTCGATCTGGAAAAGGAATCGGGCTGGCTCGGTTATATAAACCGCAAACGAGACTCTTATTTCGATGCTCGTACGCGTTTGTGAATCAAAATAGGAAATGTATGGAGTTGTTCGAGATGTTTGCGAGATATACACTTGAAAAAAGTACGTGGATAAACGTGTCATATGTCACAATATTTCTTTTTAATGTAGAAAGTTTTTAAAAGTTCAATCAATTCGTTTAAATCGTTTATTTTTGATGATGGATTATTAATTATTTCTTGAATATTTTAAGAAATAATTTGATCTATTGATTTGATCGTTTAAATTGTATCCATTTAGAACCAATAATACGATTTCCACTTGAATGAAAAATATGTTAGAGGCAGCACAATATGCGACATATGTTGGATAATTAAAGAGACAGATACAGAAAGAAATCAAAGAAATCAAGAATGTCGTGTTTCAAGTTTCACGCATGATTACCTACAATTTAAAAAAGATTGGAAGTTTTCAACGTTTATATCATAACGTTATCATAACCCACGCATACGATTTCGACATTACCATATAAATGTATATAACTTTAAGATTAAATATACTAAATTATATTTTTCGATATATATTACGACTTAAAATATCGATTTAATTTATTTAATAAGTTATGGAATAACTTGAAATTTAGATAAAACTTAAGAAAGTGCTTTAAAGCACTTTCATACTCATATCAACAGTATATGAAAATCCTTTTAAATTAGATTTGAAATAATCTGAATTATCGTTAAAATATTCAATTTAGATTTAGTGTCTCTTTTTTTTTTTTTTTTTTTTTACTTGAAATCATTTCGATATTCTTTCTAAATCATGATTATTCCCAATCTCAAATCACCTTATCACGAATCGTTGCACATAATTCGTTTAACACAAACGTTCTAAAATTTCACGTTATCATGGAAAGAATGATAAATCACGACGAGCGCAACGCGGAAATTATATTCCATTCCATCGACACTTCTGCCCTCGATTCTGCTATCCGGTTCATGTATCAACGTGTTACAAACAACGTGTTACAAACATGTCGTACTCGGAATCGACGCGATTATGCGGCCTCGATCGGCGTCCCGATGGATTTCGTACCGATGCACTTATCGCAATCATGCCCACCGAATCCTGTGTCGGTTATTTGCCTTTCGAAATTGCAACCCGGTTCGCAAAATTGCCATAAACCGGCAACACCTGCCCTCACGTACCGTGAATCGAGTTGCATTTCGCCGAGTCGCTGCAATTCCCCCCACGATGATGTATTACGTATCCGCTTTTCGAATGACCCTGCTGGATAATCGATATAGTTAGGGAGAAGGCAATCTTTTGCTGGAATATCCGATTACGATGATGGATGTTGTTTTCGCGAAGAAGCGAACGGAAGAATACGAGAATAATACAATAGCAGTGTGAAAAATCTAGATCTGAATGTGACGGATGTGTGACAAAAAAAAAAAATGATATGATTCGATAATTTGTCCAATAACAGCTTGACTTTTAACATTTTACGCGCAATAAGATTATCTTTGTAAGTACGCACTTCACAATTCAACTTCAAGTTTCAAGTTTCAGGTTTCAGGTTAATGTAGAAAATAAAATATACAGAAAAATTCAATGAAATATTCAAATTATATTGGAATATTGATATCAATCAATGTATCAAGTCTGAACTGTTTTTCGTTTGGTAAAATTTTCTCGATAAAAGAAACAAAATTATTTTTCAATTTCATATTAAAAAAACACGAGGATTTTAATAATCGTGCGTTTCCAAGTAACGTGTCATTCACATCTCGTCTATTTCTCTCCGCCTCGATTAAATAAGAATCCGCCTTTATATAATATACATTCCAAAGCAATGAACGCTTACGCGGCTCCCGATAATCGTAATCCACTTTACGTTTAATACGTAAATTTACGTTGACTGTAATATCAGGCAGAATAAAGCGACTGATATTTCCAAACATTTAATATTCAAATCTGTTCCGCCGTGGCTGCCGATACGCAAACAACATCTTGCCAACATTTTTAAAGAGATCAAAAGAGATAAGATAATCGAAATCCTTCCAGTGCGATAATCGCTAAATATCGTGGCAACGATTAATTTAAAATTTCTACACAATATTCCAATAAATACTAATCTTATTATTACGTTCCGCTAGATGCTCTCTCTTCATTTTGCGATCGTCGAGGAAGGGTCGATTGTTTCGACCCCAGCGATCTAACCGATAAAAAAAAAAAAACGGCCGGTGAACGTAATTCAGAAATCAGGACTTCCTAATTGCCGCGACGGTGGCAATCCAGGTGGCAAAAAAGAAATGCAGGAAAGAACGATCACTGGAACGGTTCCGGCAAAAAGACTTGTTGCTTCGGGCGAGGGTCCGCCGCCGCCCCGATTGTGTAAATCTCCTCATTTGGAATGCGGTACATTATTCTCGAGGGGGCCCTAAGCAAGCAGCTTCTTTAACCGAGGGATTCGCTTCGTGACGGGCGAAATTTAATTGGTCTTCTTGCTGGCTGCGCCCTCTCGTGTCCACGAAATCCTTAATAATCCTGTGACGGGTCTCGGAATCGAAAACAACAGGTGAGCAGTGTGAAGACGTTCGAACAGGTGAAACCGCCATCGTCTCTCGTTATTTCGTTTCCTAACTGCAAATTAAAAGAATCCACCGATAAATACGAAATATATTATGGAAATACAGATGGCGACATATTCGCCCAATTGATCGTTTCATCGTTACGATGTGTTACGATGTAAATTGATAAAAATCGTTGATAAACGGTTAAGTAAATAAAGAATAATTATCGCGTGAAGATATCCTTAAAAATCCATCTAAGAAGCGATAAAAAATTAAAAGTTAAAAAATTAAGCGATCAAACTTCACGAAGCCAAATTCCTTTAGAGGTTATAAATTATACTTATTAAAAATTAATTGATTAACCTTTCCAAATTCTTTTAGAGGTTATAAATTATTCTTATACTAATTACTTAAAGTGGAAACGAAATGTTTTCCCAAACAAGATATAATGTACTGACCTGTTTCATCCAAAAATAAATGACATGCATGCAACGATACGTGGGCAAATACATCGTTAATGCTACATCCGTAAATACGTCAAATTGATTTATATAAGTTTTTTTCTTTCTTTACATTCAACTTTCCTTATCTCGTGTTGCGTTCAAGATCTGATTTCTCCTCTTCGTATTGTTACAGATTTCCGAGACACACATCCGCTTAGATTCCACGACTTTATCCAAACAAAGATGTCTCTTCACTCGAGGCTGACCGAAAGTGTTGCGCGCGCGCAGTCGCGATTGCGCCCGTGCCGAGGCGTGGACACATTGCGCGTTGGATACAGTGTGTATCGGATAGATAGCGCAGCAGATGGACAACCTTGGATCAGGACTATGGCCCGCGCATCTCATTGACACCGATAAACCATCGCTTTTTCTTCTTTGTCGGGCCGCTTTTCTTCTTTGGAATCGGACCTGTATTCGATAATTGCTTGTTAGCATTATATTTATATATGCTGGTTGTTAAACACAAAGTATACCTCGATGAACATCTGACGACAAACACGTACAACATTTTACATTTTATTTGTTGGGGATATATCACCGGTTTAATTTCTTTCTTATTAATAAATAATTTTATGCGTTTAAAATGTACTCGTAAGTAATACGATGCATAAGCAGGTGGATTGAATTGGAATTATAAAATAACAAAGTCATTGAAATCAATTGTGAAAAGAAATTTACATATTTCAAGTGAAAATTTGAAACGTGTAAAAGGGAAGATAACAAGGATCGAGTTAAGTAGATAAGAATTTTTTTTTTTATATATATTTAAAACAGGGAGCCTTGGGAGAAACAGGTCCTGCAAAGTAGAATCTACATAAGCGATTGGTTCGCTATTTTTTACATGGCGAGAATTATATCTGAAAAAAATTTTCAGATATTAAGTCATAAATGATTTTTACGTTCGGGATGCATTTTAGTTAATTTACAATCTCGTGGCATATATATATATAGAGGAGCTAAACAGGTTATTTAAAACAGGTAATTCTTTGTTATATCTTATTGAACAACAACGTCTAACAAACCTTGTTACACGACCTATGAAAATTCATATTAAGCAAACTGTGTAAATAATTGCATTAGCTGAATACACTAATACTTGAAGGCAAATATTTTTGATATTCTGTATTGATTAAAGACCAATTTCCATGTTCTCATAACATATTTTGTATCTTTTTAATCGAGTGTTACACTTGAATCAAATTCGTTTTTCGTTTTTTACATATCGATGAAATCCGTTCTAAAATATATCGAAAAGTTTACGTACGTACACTTATATTGAATTTACTGTGTGTTTTTCATCTAATTAAAGTCAATGTTTATTTTACTTTAACAGAATTTAAAATATTGGAAATAATTCTTTAATTTGAAAATTACAATCGAAATTATCTTTTTTTTTTTTTTTTTTAATCCTAAAAAATACGTATGCCAACAAATTCATACAAATTCACAAAAATGTTACTTTTAAAATGTTTGTAAAATTAATCAAATATACAAAATTAATATTTCTACTTCGAAATTCAATAAAATTCTGCTTTTCTGAAGCGAAAAATATCATAGAAGATTAAACATACCTATCAAATTAAACCAATATTTTATATTTCGAGAATATTGTTTGTTCTAGAATCATCGAGGTATAAACAGTGGGAAACACTTTTAACGTGGCCTTGAACGATCCGGCAAACTATGTAGAATAAGCAGTAGCTATTTTGCACTGCTGGAAGCAGTGCTGATTCTCCTCTTTAATCGATTCTACGTTCACGCAATGGATTCTCGACTTGTTTAAATATGGAGAACAAGAAGAAATTACAGGGAGGGGGTTGGGACAAGAAAATATGATCGAGCGCTATGATAAACTCTTCCACAACCATTGAACGTACGTACGTACTCCTTCGTTCTGTCAGAGATTATATAGTCCCTTTCGATCAATGGTTTCACCCTGTCTATGCTTGAAACAGTTACAACGGATTAATACAAGACAGAGTTTCACCTCTTGCACTGCGCACGCATGCTTATTATAATGCTTCACGCTGACAGTGTACACTTATCTTATTAATAGAAGCGGAGGTGAACGAACGTTTTTCTTTCTTTTTTATTTTTTTTTTTTTTTTTTGCATTCGATCGAATAACTTTCTATATGCTCACCAGATTTACCGTAATTCTTCTCGATCAAATGCATTCCACGAAACACGTGTACAAAAAAAAACCTTAACAATTTTAATCGTTTAATTATAGAAGCAGGATGATTAAAACCTCGCAAAGGATAAACTCATCAGCCTAAAGCTACTCGTTTCAAAATTCCTAGTTAATATTATCCTCGTCAACATGTTGTACAACATGTATCGACGATTTCCTCTTGGTACGAAGCAAAACTATGTCTATAAATTGGAAAACCTATCTACTAAACGTCCTCCGACACCCAAAAATCTCTCCTTTATCTCGTTAACTTCTATCTACCGTGCGCGCGCAAATACAATAATCGCACGCACGAGTATCCTCGAGTACGCAAAGAGTACTAAAAGGGAATCGCCACGAGCGATAGCCTCCCGTGGCGACAACGTTGTAGGCAGAGGCTATGATTGATATAAATTAGCGTTCACGATGCCACACACGTACATATACACACATACACACACACACAGATCCAAACGCAGGAGGAGACGAGCTCGATCATTTCTGCCCCGGCTAAACCCCGCTTCGATCCTCTCTCGTCTCTCTGGATCCACCACTCCCTCGATCGGTATCCATCCATGGCAGCTGCGCCTCCGCGTTGCAATTTCGGGATCTCAATTAACGATAATTGGCGGCTACCGTGGCCGGCCGAATCATTCGCATAAAATCGCTGTCCGTTTGCTCGATCAGCGGCAACAACAGCCATTTCCTTTAAAACCTATATCGAGAGGGAGATTGGCAACAATGTTGATGTTTCAGGGTGGAACGATCGACCGGTTCGAAAGGTGCATAATACGATTGTAAATTGAGGAAAGGAATTTGAAGGAATTTTATATATGCATTAAATTAGTCGATTGTGTATTATTATTATTAACCTCACTCTGCTCAATTTATCCAAAAAAGAATCTACGAATTTTCTCAACGTATTATCTGCATATCCAAAATCTAATCTGTTCGTTCTTTTCCAGCGTGCCGGACGAACCGGCAGTCGATTCGTGGCGAAAGGAACAAACGAACGGGCGATCCTCGGAACGAAGGGAATAACGAACGCAACGCAGCGTGTACAGGTATAGCAGGCCGCCTATACGATGCAGCAATCTAGCCGCGTTGATTAGAGTCGTATGTAGAATCGAGAACCGGATTCCAAGAACCTGTTTCCATGTTCACGTAAGATCCCCGGAGTAATCGACTGACGGATCGGCGACCGTTCGAGTCACCGACCCCGACCGACCGAGACGCCGCTCGCTCGATCCCTCCGCGAGGCCCACCGGCCTCGGTGATCGTCGACAGAGTCGTCGTCCCGACGACGGCCTCCTCTTCCTCCTTTGTGCGCGCATTCCTGCGGGACACCCGTTCCTTCCTATGTACGCGGAGTCTACGTACGTTCCACGTTCCATCTTCGACTCGAGAGATTTCTGTGTAGAGGTTTTACGAGAGTAAACGCTGTACGCTTGGTGTGAATATATGTGCTTGGGAGGAGGATAAGAGGTTGGCGCGTGGGTGGAAGCGTTTGGGGGTCGTTTTGAGGTTTTGTATAGAGGGAGGGATTGATGGAAGGGTGCTGACGGAAGGGTGATGGGGTTAGAGGTGTTTGGTTTTTCTTGGTTCGACGTTAGGATATATTGGATAACGTGTTTCTCCAATTTTTGGAATTTTTTCTCTTTGAAATTTTCAAGCGTTTAACGTGTTGTGAATGATGAAAGAAAAAAGAAAAGAGTATGTTGTATATTGAGGTATAATAACGTTTGAGGTTATCACGTTTTAAATCTCGTAACGTGAAAAAATCGATTCATGGAAACTGTCTGAAAAGAGTTGTGAAAGAAAAAGGAAAGAAAGAAGAAAAAACCGCGTTTGATCGCGTACGCGTTAATGAAAACGTGTTCCCTGGTAGATCTAAAAACAAAAATGGCCGTTCGAGAGGGCGCTCCAGTTCACTGGTCAATTTAACAAACGTCCACTTAAATGCGAAACGGAATCTACCCGTCCCCATCGAAGAACGTTGTCTCTTTTTGCCCGTTTCATTACACACGCGTTCGAAACGAGTGGTCTCCTGCAACAGACCGCTACCAACTAATAGATTTTCATTATTTTAAGCCGTAATATAATCCGCAATTACCGCCAGAGTCACGGCAGGTATACACGTATCTGCGACTACGTGCAAATATGTGGTGGCGAGCCGCTGCAGGCCGCTTTTCAAAAGGCGACACACTCGTCCCCTTGCAACCGGGCCTCCTCTATTAATAGTCCTTCGTTAAACGTATAATGCTTGAATTAACGGCCATTTCTGTCCCAAGTCCTGGCTTTATCATCCGCGATTTATGCAATGCTTCCCGCGGCTGCCTCAACAGGTTGGCTATCGGAGTATCCTTGGTGATTATAGTGTCTTTGATTGGGTTTATTTTTCTCTCTCTCTCTCTTCTCTTTTTATTTATTTATTTTTTTTATTTTTTATGATAACTGAAGAGTTGTTTTACGTGTTTCAGTAATCGTGTCCGAGGTGTGAATTAGTGGCGAATATTGGTGCTTGTGTTATGTTATGTACCTCGGTTGTGACGAATTGACAGGAAACGGATTAATTGGATTCTTTGATATCTGGAGTTGATTGGAGCTTTTTTATGATCGTTGTGTCCATGTTTTCATTTGTTTGTTGGTTTTCCTTTTTAAATTAATGCTTCGAAGAGGACGTAGAGGGTGATTTATAGGTTTGAAAGAACACTTTATTTATTTTAGGAAACTATTAATGTTTATCGAAATGATGAAGGATAGTTGCATAAGTCTTTGAATGATATGATATTTCTTTGATTTCAGTTTCAGATAGATTTATAATGTGTACATTGAAATGAAGAGAAGCAATACAATTGCAAATTAAAAATTATATTATTGAAATATGAAATTTGAATTTGAGATATTTTAGAGAATCATTTAATACATCATGTATAATTTGTATGCGCGAAGCTGATGACTTTGCAACAGCTTATAACTTTTTAGGTGAGGTTACATAACTTTTACAACTCATTCTAACATCATAAGCACTTATGCAATTATTAAAGGTGGTATTCAACGTTTGCAACTGCAAAAAAAGACATTATTAGTTAATAATAACTTGTACAAACTTTTTATACAAGAATTTCCTGCTTATATAATCGGATTCCTAACAATACAACCCTTTAACATTTCCTCAATTAGTGATCAGGTACAAATTATTTTGCTGATTTATTCACAAAAGTAAAAAAAAAAAA